AAGAGACGAAAGAAAATTATCAAACTGCGACAGCAGAAGCAGAAAGCTAGAAACAACTGTTAATAAAGTACGTTATTTGTGAAGAAACATGTAGCATCTTTATTTATCAATATCTAATGCGTGACGGTCGTCGGGCTTAGAACGCTAGCTGAAAATTGAATTATCAAGTTGCGTTTTTACGGAAATCGGAAGCTCGAAATGAATCGCACGATCGAGAGTTCTGTCCGAAGTCCGTCACTCCGCGCCCACTGCTCCACTTGGCGGCATTGGTGGCGCCATCTCTGAATAAGCTGGACAAACATGACCGTCGTTTCTATCCGACTCCTACAGCTGCCGCTCCTCCATTGGAGAATTCGGTTTTCGAACAGTAATTTTTATTCTATTGGAAGTATAAAATTGCAATTTTAGTATGGCAATTGAACCAGGGAAAGACTTTTTTTTTTTTTTTTCAAAAAGTTACAACTTTATACACCTCGTCACTTATTTACGCGGGTCATTTTGGCGGGCAAATTTATTGGGGACCCGCTCCTCATTTGCACCCGGCCCTCCTCCTCTCCTGCTCCCTTCCTATTTAGTGGGAAAGTTTCGCAAAATTTCCTGCTATGTATAGCGGGAAAAAGTCCCCGCTAAACGTAGCGGGGAAGATCTTTTCGCTAAATTTAGCGGGAAAATCCGGCTGTTAAATTTAGCGAGGAACTTTTTCTGCTAAATTTAGGGGGGAAATTTTTCCGCAAAATTTAGCGGGGCAATTTCTTGCTAAATTTAAGGGGAAATTTTTTTCTGCTAATTTTTCGCTAAATTTACCGGGGAATTCGTTCTACTTAATATAGCGATGAAATTTTTCAGCTGAATTAAATGGGGAAATTTTTCAGCTGAATTAAGCGGGGAAGTTTTTCCGCTAAATTTAGCGTAGATATTTTCCCGCTAAATTTAGCGGCAAAATGTTTTCGATGCATTTAACTGGAAAATTGTTCCTCTAAACTGAGCAAAGAAACTTACCAAACATGCAGCTAGCGGTGATGTCACAAATGGCGCCACTCGTGACCCTCGTGACGTCACACGCGACATCACGTGTGACGTCATTATGGGAAACCTTCCATAATGCAACGCGCGGTTCCGCCGACGGCGAAGGCGACACCGCTCAAGCCGGAAACGGACGCCTAAGAGCTGCTTTCTGAAACCTTAAAGGACCCGTAAGAAACGTTTTGGCTGAGGACGAAGAAGAATCCTGTTTTGAAGTTCCCATTTAGACGGTTTTCTTCCTTTATGCGTGAGGCAGGTGTTTGAAAGCCTGATTTCATTACAGCTACTCGCATCATGTCGAACTCGGAATGATTTATTGAGAAGATATTTCCCGACATGTTTATGGAACCTTCCTCTTTGAGTTGGCCCGCGAGATCCACCACAGCGGGTCTGCGGTGGGCTCTGAAACTTTTATGGGGCCGGCGGTCTGCTTCTCCGATGTAGTGTATAGAGGTGGGGTGGCGGGAAGGGAGAGGGGGGGCGGGGTAGTGTGCGCAGGAAATTTCTATACCGTGAAATACTTCGGAAGCGCCCACTTTATTCAAGTGCCCTTTATTAACAATTCCCAAAAACTTAGGAAATCTTCAAATTAAATGGCAAACGCCCGGTTTCACCGGACAAACGGTCATGTTAACCCAATTTTCAGTGAAAGTGGGGTGGACACCCCCCGGTATTTTTACACATGTGGTTGCCGTTTTTTTTTTTTTTTTTTTTTTTACATTATTACATTACATATACAACATTTCAATACGCCACACACTGTGGTTCCAGGGAGCCTCGTGTGCAGGATGCTTCAATCTAAGAGAGGACTTAGATTGGCACGTCAACGGTAAGTGAGAGAAGGGGCTTTATATATGTTTTTTCGAGTGGGATGTTGAGCTGATTATTGCTTTGCCGCGCTTAGATGGGGAGTGATGAAACGAGAAAATAAGAGGGTGGCACCTTCTCTTGGAGGAAAAATGCGTCGTGCCTGGAGATGCCAGAGACACGACTGTTCGCACTGCGGAGGAGCTCTAGAAGATATCCGCGCTGAATAAAAAAGATAGTCGGTGTCGTCGGTCTAAATATTCTGGAGGCGGAGAAATTGTTAGAAAAGAATGCAGTCGATTTGTCAGCTGTGCTCGTTCGTAGAGTAAAGAAAGTAATTGAGGCTATAGGTAGGTAGGTTTATAGTGTACAGTTGTGGGAAACTTTTAGCCGTCACTATTGGTATTTAGGTCTAAAAGGTTGAGGGAGGATTTCAAGCTACATGATGTAAGCTGAAGGGAGGCATGGGCGCTACAGAGCAGATCAGTCCTACGGTCAACTACAGAAGAGAGACTAAATAAAAAAAATATTGTAAATGTACCAAGCATTGAATTATAGATGAGTGGGATTGGAGGTGTTAGAAAAACACGCTCTCCACTTAACCGATTAAATGTTTGGCTAATGGTGGGCTAGTGCTTGTGGCACACCAGATTTCGAAAAGTGAGATGTACCTGGTCTGTGACTTAGGGGCTGGTCAAGGAATTGTGGAAGAGCTGATAGTTCTTTGACATAAGTGATAACCCTCTAAATATATGTGATGACCTTTGTGGAGAGGATAGCGTCTCTTGTGTCATTGATGTAGCTGTGTAGGCATTCTACAATGGACTCAAGGAACTAAATCCTCACCGGCAAAAACTACCTAGATTCGAGAGGATACGACAGACACGATAAAAGAGCCATGAGACCCTACTTTTATAAATTTCTGGGAAGAGGAGTGTAAAGCGAGGTGGGCTGTCTAATAATTATGCAAGTTTATTAATTAATTAATTTATTTATTTATTTGTACATGCTGCTGGCCCGTGGGGCCGTGGCAGGGAGGAACAAACACACACACACACAAAAAAAAGAATATGATTGATACCTCCAACAGAGCTACGAACAATAAAGTGGTTACAAGATTAAATACAAAACGCGCCGACAGCGCAAAATAGAAAACAAGAGTACTAAATGCACGAAAAAAGTGATAATAAATTTAACAATGAGAATATACTGACAAAAATGATCACCAATACCTAATAACTGAGGGCACGTGCCGTGCGATACTGCAGTTCCACTAGACAAGCAAAAATTTATTTTAAATGAAAATACGGCTTGCAGTTGTTGTTTGCTTTTTTTTTTTTTTTGGTAGGGGTAAGAGAGAAGGTGGCTCACAAAAATCAATGCCAGATAGCTACGGCATTGCGGTTTCGAGGGGATTTGAGAGCAGTAAACATTTATGGTGCTCTGTTGCAGTATTTAGACATGAGATTATACATGCCTTGCACCTACATCACATGACTACGTGAAACACCGGCAACCCCCGTGCTGGTGGTCGAGTCGATGGCTATTCACAGCGATAGTCATGGTAAATGGCGCCGAGCTCGGCTGTAGCAATCGCTACGATTCCGGCCATCGTTTTGTCGGCATGCCCAACGACAATGTAGCCGTTCATTAGAGAAATTACGAGTGGTAGGGAAGGGATGCGATCTGGGATTACTGAGTTTGCGGGACGCATTTCATAGCGGCGAGCGATGGCACTTTTCTACCGTTGTTTACGGTCGTGCACGCCTTTGCATCTGCTTTGCCCGTTCGTCCTGTAGATACCCTTAGGCTTTTATTTCATCACGCCGTTCTCGCGCACATTCGGGGTTCTTTGCCAACTTAAGGCGAGAGTATTGCGCCACGAGCCAGGCCAGACACCGACCGGTCGGCGGCGGCTCCTTGAGCATGCCCACCGAGAAACCGCCGCCGGAGCATCTGCTTGTGACGTCCGCGACACGGTAACCTTTGCAAGGAGCGAAAAAAATGCAGGTCTGTCGCTAAGGAAATATCATAGTCGCAACCTAGATAGAAGGAGAGTTGTGTTTTTCGTTATTTTTTTCCCCTTTTCTCGTGGTTTAGATTGTGACAGTAACATTGCGTTGTTTACCAGTACTTCGGATAATCGTAATAATTTTACAAGCACCTCCTAGAGTCGTTCGTCAAACGTTTTGGCGCGCAGTGAAGCTTTTTTTTTCTTTTTTTTTTTTACACCACGATATTCTTTCACGTTAAAAGTTCATCGGCGGCATATCAAAACTGCCTGGTCATTGCGCAATCGCACCCAAGCCGAAAGATTCCGCGCGTGCTCTTGTTCATCAAGATAAACCTCGACATGTTTTGTCTCAATTTCACGTGTAAATAACTAGGTAAGTACCTTTGTTTAAAATATGGTGCATGTCAGCGCTTCTCCAGGCAGTTAGCGGCATCCTAAGCCTTGGTAAGTGCCTCCGCGCGGTGTGAACTCAACCACGAACATTGTGCGGCCCCCTGTCCTTCCCTACCGTAATGTCACATGCAAGGGATGTATTCAACGAGTTAATTGGCAAGAACGCTGTGGCGAACATGGATGGAATTATCAGTTTCTGAATATTTTATTCAATGCGTGAACATATGTACTTAGTGAACATATCTGTTCACAAAGTTTAGAATAACTTTACTTTACCAAAAAGGCACCAATGTGGCCAATGGTGTTGTAGCGGCGTCTTCGCCCTCATTAATGGCATCATATGCACCGCTCTCGTCGCGTTGGTCGGTCATCGCACACTCGATGCAGCTCCGCCACTCTGCCGGCTTCGCGATGTGCTACAGCCCTCGAGTACTTCGACTAAGCGCAACTGTAACGCCCTGATACCCACAAGTGGCAAAGCTTGTAACTACGGTACTCTTGGCCCTTCATGCCGTGATGACGCCAAGGCCGCGCCGGGTCTGCCGGATCTTCCCAGATGCATCGCACTCTTCGATAGCTGATCTTGAAGCGCTCGCCGAAATACAGGCATTTAGAACGAAAAACACGGCCATCCGCTTAAAGTACAACCACGCTATTATCAATTACAGGTACAGCTGATGATAGTTGCCTTATTTCTTAAATTTTTTGTTTATTCCGTAAGTCGATTCAGCATATCTTCAATTCCTTGACAGCAATCGTGAATTTATTTTGATGACCCGTGTAGTTGCCAACTGTTAAGGTGCTTGCAACTCTTGTGGTACTGTAGCTTCGTTTCGCCCCCGCACCTCTTGTAGGCTTTTTCGCAGCGAGTTGGAGGATCATTGTCTACTTTAAAAGCACCCATCCACAGCGTACAGCCTGAAAGAACAGACAGAGAGAGAAAATAATCGATGTAAGGACTTATAGGGAGCAGTAATTTTACGTGTAAGTTACCAAAATGTGAGATATAACCAGTGTCTAGGGAAGTGTATAGTAACTACAGGCAGCACACAACGTGCAAGTGTTCGAGACTGGGACCGTCAACAAGAAAACCACACATTCCGGTCTTACAACTTACAAACACACTTCCCTTGCTGCACAAGGTACGCCATAGGGGAAGGTTACGGCGCATTCACTGAGCGCGACTGGTTTAAGCGGTGATAGCAGAAACCCAGAAAGACGACGATCGCCGTGACCGTGCACTTTTGCCACCGCTTAATTCACAGAATCCTTCACATAATAGAATCGGCTGTGATGCGACTTTAAATAAAGCCAAGTATATATCCTTTTTTTTTCATTTTTTTTACAAGAACCGTGCTATGCTGTGTTAATGTGCTACAATAGTTTTATTTTATTTTTTTGCAAATCGATTACGAATATACAGCCACTTCAAATCAGATACTGACATCAGGAGCAATATTCGGGCGTAAATTCGTATTCATAAACCAGTGAGCGGAGTGCATTTAAAATGTTCACAAAGGCGGTGCATTTATCGTACTCAAAGCTTATGAGTGTAAGTATCTGGGTAAAAACGTTTGAGCCTAAAATAACCCGTTTATTTCTATGTAGAATAAGGAAAACGGCAAAAACTTTCTGGTTGACGCTGCTACTCACAGAAGGCGCCACAGACGTTCGGGTTTCGTGGATCTACTTTCGGAAATTCATCTTAAAGAAGCTCTCAGGTTTTTGCTTTATGTTACGCCATCTGTGAGTGCCAGCATCAACCACACGGTTTTTTGCCGTTTACTTCCCTGTGCATAAAACAAATACGCTTTTTGGACTTGTTTTTATACACACACTTATAAAATTTGAGTATGCACCACCTAAAGACACCTTTGTGATAAGTTTTAATGCACTCTGCGTGTTGCTTTAAATATACGAACTTTTTTTTACGCCCGAATAGCGCTCAAGAACACCCCGCAGACTGCGTTCCTATTGCCGCGAGCACGTTGCTGACACGCTGGCCGTATCTGACAACTAAAGCCCCTCTATGCTGGGAAAAGTGGCGCCATTCATTGTTGTGCAAATGCTGGAGGCACGTGCCTTGCGCCATTTCTGGGAAGAACATGGCTTCTGAAATCTAGCTTAGTGCTGTGCTGTGCCGCCTTTACGTGCCTCGTGCATCGACGCACCTTGAGCTACTTTTGCGACATGAAGGGGCTTTACTAACAGCGAGCGCACTGCTCCACCTTTACACCCTTCACCTAATAGACTGGACCACATGAGGCTGGCTCACACATTTGTGTCGCTTGCGTTCTCAGAAACTGAAACGACAGCAACAAAACGTCACCGAGACAAGTGTTCTCCGTACTCAACGTGGCCAGCGGTGCAAGACGTATAGTTTGGCGAAGCCATCATAAGTCACGGTTCTTACGGTGTTCTTGTCGTTTTTAACGTTTTGGTTGTTGTGAACGCAACTGTCCCAAATGTGCGAACCAGCAATTAAGAAGTGTCTTCCGGATTGTCGATCACACTTCAGTGGGCGTGATCGCGGCTTCTGGAGTGGTAGTTCAATGAATCGTGCCGGCAGTAGCATTGCGAGGGGTGGAGCTTAGAGGGATTCAGCCCCCCCCCCCCCCCTTTATTCACCTCCCCGCCTACGCAACTGGGAAAAGTTTTCCAAAACCTACACTCTATTCTTTTTGTCGGCACTGTCTGGGTGCTTATTGTCAGGCTTCTAAACAGTAGTTTAGACCTAACACGATATTGGCTAAAACCTAGGTCAGCTGCTAAACTAACTTCTTTAGTGAGCTGACAGAAGGAAGACAACATTATTAAGCGACGTAAGTCTCGATTTATTTGCTTGTCTCAAAGTGTTACCATGAGATCGCCCAGCTACTAAAACGCCCCGATAAGAACTAGAGGGCAATCTCTGCTCAAACCCCTTCTTTTATACTCCTTTGGCTTCACCGGCCACAAACATGATTCTTCTTTTTTTTCGGTCATTCACTTGGATAAATCGTCGAGTGATACGCTCAACGATTTCTCACGACTTTGTCAGAAACCCGAACGAACCTTCGACAGATTTTTTCATGGCTAGGTTACGCCGAGCTTTAAAGTGGAAGGAGCATAGAATTACTAAGAAGGGATGGCTGTTCCTACATCGTGAACTTGCTTCAATATTTATTTGGTATGCCTCACGATGCTGCTACTAATCTAATGGAGGTTAGCGGTACCTCGACGTTTCATTAGTCAAACTCACCTGATCCGTTTCCTGTATTATATGTTTTTGTAACTTGACACTGCTCCGATACGTTCATGTAAATGAGTTTCCGTTTTTGTTCTGTTGGACGCAAAGCAGAGTACATATATGACTTGTTTTCGGAATTTGTTCACAAGTATTATTTGCTACAGGATCAACTCTACACACGAACTGGTTACAAAACATCGTAATCAAAACCCGTTCAAATTTATTTTAGTTAAATGAGGGCTAATTATAGTTACTTACAGGACGCTGATAGGAAACAAGATGACAGTCACCAAATGCAATAGGAAAAGTTTTCAAGAATAACAAAATTTCAGCAACTTTGTTTAATATATTTCTTAAACATCAAACTCGTCTACAGTTTTGGATTGCAAATTTGTTTTTTTATTACATTTTCGGGGGCCCTAGTGTAAGAAAATGGCTCTCTTTCTTTTAGTCTGAAGACTTCCTAAGCACACCTGATCTATCCTATCACCCTTACTTTTATCATGCTCAAAAGTAAAACAAGTATGTACGTAACAAACCTTCCTGTAGTCAACTATTAATCTTGGTGCAAAGTATAGTCGCGCTGTGAGTCAAACCCCGGTTTAAAATGCACATAATGAAGACAGTCGACGTATCTTTGTGAAATAACCTTTTTATACCTTCCTATTTCATCAACCTATCTCTTAGGTAGGGACATTTATTATCCCTAGGCAGCGTTTTGAATAACTTCGAGACATAACTAGAGTTTATTTAAAAATACGCATACGTAAACAGGACGGATATACCGAGTGTTTTTAAGAAGACCTTCAAAATATCCTAAAACAAGTGCGTTGAAGAAAAAAGAAAACTCTTTAAAAAAAAAACTGCCAGCAATGGCGGACGTCGAGATTTGAGAAATCATACTGATGAGCAATATAATTATCTTAAGTTTACTATTTAACTTCTTATATAGTGGAAATAAACATGACTTCAACTATAAACTTCATGAACGTCATGGAAAGCCTTTCGATCAGTTGACTGTAGGACGAATTCAAGCACGTGGAAAGCACGGGGATGTGGAATAAAGGTGCCACTCGTGCAACAGGCGCAAGGCCGGCGATGCGAAATCAGGAATGGTGACTTGGTTCTTTACTTTGCTTTCCTTATAGTCCCATATTCACATCGTTTGCGTGTTTGCAACGCCAGCTTTTGCGCCTGCTGCACGAGTAGAAAATAAATAGATGGGGGAAAAAAAACGGTGTCTCCTTTTAATATATTATCGCCGACAGTTTCAAAACTGCATGACGTAGAGAGTGTGGCCAGCGTCCCACTATGTTTAAGCCACAGTCAATGCGGCTAGGGCATTAGCCGATAAGAAAGCCGAAGAAGAAATCGCGCCCCAAGACGTACGAAATTTATTAGTCACGTCCTGCGTGTCTTCAGACCTCGGTGACTTTAGATATGCCACAGATATATATATATAGTATATATATATGTGTGTGTGTGTGTGTGTGTGCGCGCGTGCTTGTGTGTGCGTGAGTGTGCGTGTGTGTGTGTGTTTGTGTGTGTGTGTGTGTGTGTGTGTGTGTGTGTGTGTATGTGTGTGTGTTTTAAATGCGTTTAAATGTTTTAGGACAAAAATGGTCAGATCGTTGAAAAAAATCTCGACAGGTTCTGACGACTCTCAGTTTGGCGCCAGAGGAACAGAAAGGGGCGATCGCAGGCTATAGACTGTTTTATCGTGGGTGGCGCCATTTTAAGAGCGAGAGAGAAAAGGGGAAAGGGCTACCGGCGCTTCCTCCCTTTCTGGTTGTGTAGAAAGAGTGAAAGTCCCGGATGAGAGGCTTGACCGGTGTTGGGTGTCTGCTGTGCCCAAAGTTCGTTCGCGCATCCTTCTTTGTTTCGAACTCCTAAACTTAATTAGAACCATGGTCTTCCATGGCGACAGTCTCCCGGTCATCGGGACACCATTGCTGGGTGATATCGTGCACGAACAACGACAGAAAGCGTCGAATACTGTCCGAGGACCTATATGTTACTTGCATGGAGTCCGGCAAGGCGAGTGCGACTGCAATGTTTTTAAGCCTCATCGTTTTCCGCATGACAGGAAATGGTGAACCATTTATCAATTTTTGCTTGCAATGGGCCTATTTCAACGTAGCCGTTTTTAGTAATCAACAAGCGATACACGAAACGGGAACCTCAATTAACTTTCGTAAACACCCGGAGCTGCAGATCGTTTTGCTGCAGTGCTTTTATCTTCGTGTCAGTGTTCTTATATTTCCTTGTGGGCGAACGACGAAGACGTTCTAGATGTACTTATATCAAACCACAGAAAAACTCAAAGTAGCAACGAATTAATTTACTATTTGATGCAATATTTTGAGAACTCAACTTCAATTTCTATCGCTGGCACGTTCGCTGCCGCTGTTCCCCCGTCGCCGCACTGACGAATGCCACTACTCGAACAAAGAAACTTGCACACTGGGCTCGAAAACGCAGATCGCAACACACGAGACGTATCCTGCAGCGACTATCCAGCGTTTCAGAGCGCCCAATCAACGGAAACAACCCACCAGAGGCACTCTACGGAGCGTTTTTTCCGGCTCTCTGGTATCGCGCAGGAGATTGCGATTCAGGAAAACCGATAGGAGTACCATTTCAAAAATTTCCAGCCTCACCTGGCGGCGGAAATGAGCCTTCAACTAAGTGTTGGAGATGACACCACTGCAAATTATCAATATTAAACAAAATTCAGTGACAATATTTTACAAGCTGAAACAGCAGTTATCACGAGAAAACTCGCACGCACCTTGCGAGCGTACCCCATGTTCATCGGCGGTACAGAGTTCGGTGCGCGCACCATTCACAAAATGTTCCGAGCACAGTCGAGAGGATGGCGTTGAGGAACCGCCTTTTTGGTTTACGGACGCCATCCACTGCCGCCCGAAACCGGGATCATGTGGAAAGCGATGGAGCTTAAAGACATTGCAGCCGCTCTCGCCTTCCCGGATTCCTTGCAAGCTACATAGGTCCTTGGGCAGTATTCGACGCTTTCTGTTTTTATTCGTGCACCCTATGACCGAGCAATGATGTCCCGATGGCCGGGGGACTGTTGCCATCGAAGTCCGTGAGTTCAAAACAGAAAAGAAAGCGCGAAAAAAGTTGGGGCACTGCGGACACCCAACACCGGCCAAGCCTCTCATCCGGCACTTTCACTCTTTCTACCCAACCAGAAAGGGGGAAAGCGCCGGTAGCCCTTTCCCCTTTTCTCTCTCGCCCTTTTTCAGTAAAACGGTCTATACGGACAGCAAGTCGTGTGCTTCCTTTGCACGGGTTGTGCTGACGTCAGAACGCCCTGCTCTGATTGTTTCGAAATGAAGAATAGGGGGTAGACTTTAAGGCATCTAGTATTGGGGTCTACCCACTATCCTACTATCACAGCCAATCAGAACTCGGCTTGTTTCTAACGTCACCGCAACTCCTGTGCCAGAGGCAGACAACTTGCTCTCCGCAGTGTCTATGACAGATTGAAACGTGCACGACGCGGCCTATTATGATCAAGCTTTGTGCTTCATCCATCAAGTCGCACAAAAATGTACTCCGAATCTCCTTGAAACCTAGCTATTGGCGAGTGGAATAACGTACCTGAAAGCGTGGTGTGCAGTCCTGTTTGCGTTTTATTTAGAAATGCTTGCGAAGAACTTTTTTGGTAATTTTGTTTGTATGCATGAAATTTAAATGATTAGTCACCCTTTACTTTTTATAGTTTTGAGTAATTCCAATTTTTTTTTATTTTTTAAGTCTTACGTATTTTGTGTAATACAATGTGTTTGCAGTTTTTTCTACCCCCTCATGTAATGCTCTCGGGCAATTTGAGGTAATTAAATGAATAAATGAATTCGGTCTTGACGTTGTTTTTTTTTTTATTGGTTTATATTTGCGATCTTATTGACCGCAGGGAAATAAGATAGTCCGGGCTCTACGCGCCTTCCATTTCGTAATCTCTCAGTGACTATAAATTACGCAGTTTTCTCATAAAATACGCTTACTCTGTAATGATGTATAATATTTCTGGAAAAATTGGGCATTTTAGTTACGTAATTTTTTTAGTGTCGATTTTCTTACTTTAATAGAATGACATGGATAACATTCTCTTACTTTCGTAAACTGCATTCTACTGGTGCATCGCGTGCAAACTGGTTAGCTTGATTAAATATTCAACTTCGTTTTCTTATTTTACTTCACGAACATTTGAAGTGAAAGCAGCACTAGTGCATTCATAGAATTTCTCAACAACGCTTTCGCCGAGAGTCAGAATGCCTCTTAGACCCTGAAAGATCTTACAATGATCCTCCCCATTGAGAAAATGCAATCCAAGAATTAACCAGGTTCCAAATAAACTCCAAGATAATTGGTATTTGTAGTTCTTTGCATTTTGCGTGGTTTCCAGCATGGAGAGAGTGATGATTTGCAAAAAAGAAAAGCCCTTTGAGAAATCAACTTACGTTTTTTGGATTCTTCAGTATAATAAAAAGTATTGCTTTGATTTGCGTAGAAGCCTACGATAACATCTTCCTGCTTACTTAATCTAAAAAAAAAAGATTTAATAAGAGGTTAAGGGATGTTTTGACTTCCTACACACACGATACGTACCGGACGTTGGAAGACCCAGATTTTAATTCGAAGCTCCACCTTTTATTTTGACTTTCGCCGGTTTCATAAAACTTTGATTCATTCGATCAAGTACGGTTTATACAACGGCATATATTCGTTTATATATTTTCTCTCTCTCTTTCGTTTTCTGTTTTATTTTTGTCCCATATCTATGTCTCCCCGCACCGTCTCACATAACTACAGTCACGGGAGACGGCGGCTCATTTCATCTGTACGTAAATAAAACGTTTGGACAACATGCGACGCCGCCGCGACTCGGCCGACCATCCCCGTACAAAGATAGGTGCCAACCGGGCCATTAAGGCACGTAGAAATGCAAGGTGACACAATGCTCTGGGAAATAAACTTGAGATAACAAAACAATCATTAGAAACTGTAGATTATAAAGACTAGCGTAGCGCTGAAGGAGACGAAATAAAAACTTTCAGGAGTTCGTCTGCTGATCTGAATAGGGCGATCTCTGCAGTGAAACTTGGCGCGTATCTTGAGCGCCTGTAGGGGGTTGGAGTGGTGCCCTTCGCCGATGTGTTGGCGTTCACGAAGTAGTTGAACGCATTTAAGGACTTGTAGGTTTTGAGTCGTTCTCAGGTATATTGGTCAAGCTGGTTCGCTGCTGGTTGGTGAAGGTTCGCAAGCTAGTTCGTGAAGGTTCGTCCAAAGTACCTTCGGTAGATTGGCATTTCTTGAGGAACAGGTGCTCGTTCTTTTCATCCAATGAGCATAAGTGTATTTTTTTAGATGTCGTAGTCGGTCATCGGCGGTGAGACTATTAAAGGACGTGCTACTTACTATGGGTAATCAAAAATAAGTAGAAACAATTGCTAACCGGAAGCAACATACTCCCTCCTGAAGATGGTTTATTTGATTGTTTTGTTTACCGTTGAACACCCTGTATAATTTAAAACATACGTTCCCGAGAAGACTCGTTCGTTTCGCAAGAAACGAAACAGTACCCTAAATCGCTTCATTGACTAAGGAGTTGTGTGATTGGACGTACGATAGAGAGGCGTTTTTGATACCCTCAAATATAATAGCGAATACAGACACGAAAAAACGACCACTCATTATTATAGGAAGAAAATCTAGAAATCATTATCGCCCTATCAATTATCTCCTACTCTTTTGATATTTTAAGCGCAGCGCCTGCAGCATGTTTTCTTTCGAGTGTTAAGGAAGTGCAAAGAAATATTGTCTTTTGTGAAAACATGACAATTCATAAATTGCATTCTAGTGCAGATTGTGTAGATCTCTTTTTACTTGTAATTGAGTTCTATTCTAATCCTAAGTGTAAATCCTAATTCTATAAGTTTAATCTTATATGATTTGTTTGCCCTTCACTCTTCGTGGGTTGTACATGTCAAGCGAACGTATTTTATGCATTATAAAGTTTTCTCGAAGTAAATCTCAAATGGTTTTCCTCCCGCCACGCCTTATCCCCGCAGAGAACTTTGAAGGCGCCCACTCTCTATGTTTAATACATGTGCTTTAGCAATATGTTTCAATAATCTTGAACTAGATTACGTTTAAACCACGACCTGTCATGAACGATCCATGCACTTCCGAAGGGATCCTTTGTGAAGCTCTTGAGGAAGTGCACATCGGCCGCGGTGCTACCGCCGTCACCGAATTTTATGCGTATTCCAGTAACTCTCTGGCATTACGAAGCATGCGGTTGCGTTCCACCATCATTGCTTTCACTTTGGGTTCGCAAACGCATCTTATCCTGGGCATTGGCCTAATGTTTCCAAATAAAGGGATTTTTTCTTCTTCATATTTTCGGAGATACTCAAAGCTCAAAAGCGCAGGGAACGAAACGTGCCCTCTTCTTGAACTGCATGCGCGTAATTCTGCGAAAAATAGGCTTACCTATATTACAAAAAAAGATGGAGAGAGTTTCTGGCAGGCCCCCATTCATGTATGAATACTTACGTTTGTCGTACGCAAGCTCACAGCCGCAGGATAGTGCGAAAAATAACGGAAATAATAGACAGAATACTATAAACTATATCCTGGGATATGACAGTCAAAACAAAACTTCTTTCTTGAGCTGGAACTTTTGAAAGAAGCCGAATTATAAGAATGGGGGCAAGGGGCGGGTTTTGAAATTTAGTCGTGGTTAACGTGCGAAGGTCAGTTTTCGAAAATGACCTGCGGTAGTCTGGAACCTTCTTCAGGTAGCGACTTCGTTCTGATCAATGGTTAAACTCAAAAGTTTTATTCAATATTTACCCTTCAAATAAATCAAAAACTGCAATTCATGGCCTGTAATTTTCAAATGCACACTTACGGGTCTCTCCTGTAATTTTCGAGCCTATATTTGATTCTGATGGGATCCTCTTCCAGTTTGTCATCTCCTCCCCACCTTGACACACATGAGTAGTTGCCAAATAATTTATCATTGGTGTAATTACGATACTTCATGTAGTATGTGCCATTCGTAAGGAATGCCTGAAAACAAAAAGGCCGGAGAAGATTACCGACGCACAAGGAAAGACATCGTTTTTAGGGGTGTGTTCTATAAGCATGTAAGGTTATGATTATTACATACCTCGAGATATCTTTTTCTTAAATAGTCTAAAATATCACCAAATCACCACTTTTTTGTGTCTTATAGAGATGTTATTCTTTTTTTCTTTAACTACGAATACTACATGTATTTACGTATTTTCAACAACACACCCGACAGGTATTCTGAATATCCCCAGTACGGTTTGCGCTCTACAACATATTGATTTTCATAATTTCTGTACCTCAGTCGGGATCGTTTTCGTCTCTGCGAATATAATAAATTAGGAAGACTGAAAAACGATGTTCAAAATGACTTCTATATGTCAGTGTTTTTCATGCGTTTCCTTTCTGGTGATGAGATCGGAAGCGGGGCGAATTTAGGGGGGGAGGATGTAATCCTCCACACTCACACACACTGAAAGAGAATTCTTTTATAAATAAAATCGCAGCGCCACTTTTGTTCCCACAAATTAATTACTCGTGCGCGATGGAACGGTGGCCATCTTTTTTGTGACATCACATCCGGCAGTAATCTTATTAACCATGTTGAATTAACCTGAGACGGGGGTAGAGAAGAAACATCAAAACGCGTAGAAGGGACAGAAAATAGACAGGATGACGTCTCAAACTCAGCTAACTCATTTATTTAGTACACCTCCTTATATAGTCTCAATCTCAAGGTTATCTCCACCAACACAAAAGGACGAAGTTATACAGATCAAGCGCCACAGCCTTAATCACGCAATGCAATAACGTTGACAACGTTTACAGGTCGACGCGATAAGGCAACATCCATTCACCCTCAAACTTGAACAAAAGGACGTTGCCTTATCGCGTCGACCTGAAAACGTTGTCAAGGTTATTGAATTGTGTGATGAAGGCTGTGGCGCTTGATCTGTATAACTTCGTCCTTTTGTGTTAGTGGAGATGACCTTGACGTTGAGTCTATATAAGGAGGTGGACTAAATAAATGAGTTAGCTGAGTTTGAGACGTCGTCCTGTCTATTTTCTGTCCCTTCTACGTTTTGATCTTTCTTTCTACCCCAGTTTCAGGTCAATTCAACATAATTATTATTCACCAGCTCGCCTGCACCCGAACGATTTTTTCTAGTAATCTTATATTTATCCATAGCTTCATTTCTTCGCACACCCCAATCCCCCAAGCCTGACTCAAAATTTCGTCTCTGTTCAAAAGTGGGAACCGAATGGAGACTATTTTATACTCTGCCAATACACTAGCAAACTACGGGAACGATACTGATGTTGTGGTTTCGACACTCGTAATTCTTTTGGGCCAGTATAGCGCTACCTTTATGACTGACCTTCCAACATATACTGTGTTTTCCCAACAACTGAGGATAAGGTTTAAAAATATCACATTAAATAAGCAAAGTATGTCGTCGTAATAATGATATCAATGTCAATTTAGTAGTAGGTGTCAATTTAGTAGGGAAAGCTAATAATTAAAACTTTCAATCAATCAATCAATCAGTTTATTTTTTCTTTCAAGGGGTACACACTTTAATCATATAAAAGCTTCTAACTAATTTCTGAAATGTTTTACTTGAGTGGGTTACTTGAGATATTTGTTCGTCGTCATAATATGCATAGCAGTTGTTAAAAAGAAGCCCTAGTATGATTCGCTTAGTCAAAACTTTTAAGTTTGCTAATATCGCATACACATAAGCTAAGCACAAATTTTGTTACTTCTTTTCTTGGTTCTACACCCCTTCTCATATCACATGAAATGTTATTCAGTATGCTTGATGAATTGTTACAATTGCACTCTAGTAAATATATTCCATTAGCCATTACTCTTTATTTCACTTACACGCTTTAGTTTACAGAATATGAAAGATCAATGAAGTATTCTAGAAATATGTAAACCAGTTCGCTTAGGCTAATTTCTGGTGGCAATGCAAAACTGATCAGCACTTTTTTATGCGCTCTAGAATAAAGGTTTGAGGAAGCTCGCACCATAGTTAAATACCTCGGAGACGATCGATGGGACCCCAAGAAATTTACAAACACAATTCCGTCTCGGAGTTGTGTTTCTCCCCTTTTCTGTGTGTTTCGCCTCGTCTCCTCTTTTTTTTTTTTTTTTTTCAGGAGGATCGTTTATTAGCTTGACAGCACAATCACCCTGAATTTAGGACGCTCGCTTCCTATAGACGTAGAAGACATGGTTGGCAGCAATCTTGGATAAAAACAAGCAGCTACAGAAGTCACTGCTATATATCGACTGAAAACCGTTATTGCGAAAGAAACTATAAGTCGGCTTACCTCAGTTGCATTATATGGTGGCCGTTTTACACTTGCTTCATGCGAACTGAAGATGGACCCCGCCAGAATAAAGCAAGAAACGAACAGTGATGTGCTCATCGTAGTTTTCGATTTAACCGCCCTCCGGTCAACTGACTTCGTAGTATACAAGAAAAGTAAGATATACACGTTAATGAAACATACCGACTTTTATATTCCCGATTTTGAGTTGGTTGAACCAGGATTTCAGAACAATGCGGTGTTACTTAGAAATACCACCCACTCACTTGTGGACGTATAGCGTATTGCTTCGTTTATCTTGACGTAAGAAATATTGCGAAACTGTATGATCTATACGTCTTCCATTCTTCGTCTATTTTTTGTGGAACAATGACAGTTCACATTCCTAGAAACCAATTCTTTTCTGCTCTTATAACGTCATGACGAGTAAAATAAAAGCCAGTTTCACAAGTGCTCACACGGGTACAGCTATTTCGTATATATCCTGTGTCAAAACTTCCACAAGACAAATTTGACTTTCTTGACTTTACATTTGTGCACAAAAAACCTTAAGGCAACAATAAACCCTCTTTTTCTCGTTCTAACTTACCACATTTCCGCCATATGAAGTACCTTCTGCCTAATATCGTTCAGGAAAAAAATTGCTGACCATCATATCATGCTGAGGAACAAGTACTATTTGCTGAAGTGAATAGTTACTTTTCTGACAACTTAATAAAACGTTGCTATGTTCAATAAACAAAAAAAAATTGGGAATCGTCTTTTTTTTATCTCGCCCCTGAAATGATTAAAACAATTTTAGCACAAAACAATGAGAACTGTGGGTTTCACTGTAAACAGCCGACGTTTGCGACTAGGAAAATAAAGGGGACAAAAAACAAACTGTACATGTGAATACGGAGGTCCGGCGAAATGTTGCACTGCTGCAGTAGAGCACCGCTACGTCTTCGACATCAGCCTGGATCCCATCAGGCCATTTTTTTTAATATTCATTATTAAGGAATACTGCCAATATCACATGTAGATTCTGGCAAATAGAATCACTGTAAAAAAAAGTAACGCAAATAGGAACGAAAAACAATATAGGCGAAACATTATATGGCAAAATAGCCGTAAATCAAAACGTAATGTTTTTTCAACAAGAAAACACGGTCATGCGTGCCTTATGATAATGCTTACTTCGAGAGATGCAAACTAAAATTCAAAACTGAAAATAAGCTAGAAAATAACAGAGAAAAGTAATCCAGAGTCTCAAATGTATTTAGTTTTATTTCGCAGAGAACGTTACAAATGCTCGTGAGGAAAAAAGCATGGAGTTTAGAACAGAAGCACACTCTTGCATAAGTTGTTAACATAACCTCTTTAGACAGGCGGAAAACATCATAACCGACTGCACACCAAAGAAAGAAAATGGGTAACCAAGCACTAAATTGTACAACGTCCCTAAAATAAAACAGATCAGGCGAACTCAAAAAAGCTTCTTGTTTTTTTTTTTTGTTTTTTTTTTCTTTTAAAGCAATTTTTTCTATATTTTGCGAATGCGCAAGAAAAACTTCAACAGCTAGAAGAGTAACAACGTTATTCACAAACAGAAACTTGCGCGTTCCATTAATACTGAAGACAGCTTTGACAGCATTCTACCGTATGCAAATCGTTAAACATGTTTTTATTTTCGCAACTATTGGGCGTCTTTCCATAAAACAAAGCAGAAGTAACACGATACATTATTTTCTTTTAATTTAGAATGGTGAAATTCTTTTTACGTTCTTGCGGAGCATGGTAGAAAAGCATCCATGATATATTCCAGTAAAATAAAAGGAATCAGGGAACGTGTACCCCTGGTCCCCATTCACTGATGCATTTCAGTTTGTTTAATTTCATTCGTTTTCATATTCAAAACAAACGTTACAGGCGTACTCAACTGGAAATTGGTACTAACTATAACCCTCACACCTACGTTTGCATCCAGAGTTTCTAAATTACACGGAAAACCATAAAAGCAGGTATTTATAATATGATTTTTTTCGGCAACAATCGCGTGGTTTTTTAACACTTCAAGAGCTGTTGATATACGCATATATCTGCTTTCTTAGCAAATTCTCCCCACAAGGAATACAATATTTTTAATGCAGCACTAACCAGATAAAATGACAGGATTATTTTTTTCCAGATAATGAAAGTGCCAAGCATTTAAATAGAGATCTTTTTGCATCATCGTTTCCGTGCTATCGTTGCAAAGTTGAATATTGACCAACTGTAGACAAACATGTAACTTTGTATTAACTGCGGACTCAGACATAAACTTTAATTCCGGTGTCTCTACAACCATAAAGGTCTTAATTTTACTTGCGAAATACTCACACGTAAGATATACAGGGTGTTTGTTTGTTTGTTTCTTTCTTGTTTTTTTTTTTTAGCTGCACCGAATTTTCAAGAAACAAACAAAAAGGAACGCGAGATAAAGTAATTTAAGCCCCGGGGGAAGTGTCGATGGCCCTGGCGACCTCTAGTAAAAAGGTGAACTCAGGTAATTAGTTAGCTGATTAACTAAAATGTTTTAACTAACTTTTTAAATTTTCACTTGAGGGCACATAATGTATTTAGGGAATTGAAGCTCGACCTCAATATCGTGTAGCCCTGCCAACAAAGTTTTGTTAATAAATTCGTAGTAGGTGCTACGGTGTCTAGAACTTTTACTTTGGTACACGGCGTCGAACCAAAACTAAGCGAGAAAGAGCGCCGGTACAGTTTTCGCTCCGCCCTTTTGGGCATGCGGCTTATTATCGCGTCCGGCTCCACTTGCTTAAAGGAGGACCAGCAGAAATATTCTTCCGCCTGGCGGAAAGTCCTCCTCGCCCTCTTTCTTTCTTGTATTGTAGCACGGCGAGGAGAGGGGAAAGGTCCCCTTTTGCGCCGGCTTCTTCTGAGAGGATAAGCCGAGAAAATCCCCATTCTGAGCGACGGGCGATGGGTGCGGCAGCAGCGACCTCGTGAGTTAGAGGTAGCTTCAGCTCCTACCGCGTAATCTGCCCCATTTTTTGGCGCTCACCAAGCCTAGCTCCTCGGGTGTCGGTTTTACGGAGCTGCAAGGCTGCGCCCGCGCAGTCACCGAATTGCCGCTTTCGAAGGTCTTTAGTTTAGCCCGTGGCAAAGTAAACGCATACTTGAGAGCTGCGATGCATCCCCGCACCCATTGAAGGAACGTTTCATAGATATTTTCGGTTGATCAAGGAGCTCAAAACACATGCGCGAGAAGTGGTGACTTGAATATGTAAGGATGACTCACATCTTCACAAAACATTCCATCTTCAAGAAAAAACGGCTTATCACGCTCAAACCTGCCTCAAATTGGGATCGATGGAAAAGAAAACGATGTACCAGGCGCGGGCATCTTCTAGAAGGTCTCTGTTTTCTAGGAGCGAGCACAAATTATTGAAGGACTTTAGCAGACTATGTTTTCAGGCCACGCTATATTTAGCGGGAGCACGCGCTGCCACTTCGATGCCTTCTCTGAAGCGCGCGCCTGAAGTGGCAGCGGGCCTTTGAAAACGATTTACTAAAATGCCCTGTTGTGTGCCTAACTCGCAGAACATGATGGCCAGCAAAATGTATGAAATTCATATTTACACATTCCCAACAAGCACCTGAGGTGAGAGGGCATCAAGGGTGGATGTCAATTTTAGAAAGTCTTAGTGGGTCGCTTTTAGCCACTTAGATAACCGTATACGGTCCGTAGCCCACAACGAAATGTAAGCTAGACTCGCTGTTTACATTCTTCATCGAGTGCGGCTATGGAGCGAAAAGACAATATTAAAACCCTTTTTGACGAGTCTAGCGTGTCGTGTTATGGTTCAACGTTGCTTGTATCGGTACCATAGCACGGACCGCCACTTCGAAGTATTTGCGGTGTCTCAAAGAAACTAAGGCAAAAGCAGACAATTTTTTTTAACGTGACACAGAATTGTATTTAACATTGTAAAAAAACTTTTAGGTACACTACGCTACGCAGTTAGCACAAACTATCACCGGTGTTTTCCACTTTTTTTTTGTTAGAAGAGAACGATGTTTAGGAAACTGTTAATGCGAGTATCCAACCTAAGCGGTAGATTTTAGTGCGAGTCGATACATTGCTGGGGAAAATAGCAAAAAGCGCGATGTCGTGTTTGCGCTAACAGTGTCGCGTAATGTACGCATACCGCTGCACAATCAACTAACATAGTAAATCAGTAAATTTAGTGGCCCCCAAAAAAGTGGTGTTATTTTGTTTTATTTTTATGTTTGAAAAGTTGTTATTTTTAAACAAGCAATTCGGTAAAGAGTGCTTCCGTTGGGCACCAACTTACGAGGCATCAATTTGTTCTTATACACTAAATTCTGCATGGCCCTTGCGTAAAAATGTCAATATTGTGTTTCGTGCTAGCTGTGTCACGCACAGTAAGAAAACAAGTTCATTGCTCGAACATTTAAACAAGGCCTTTCTTACGCTTTCTTACGCCAAATAGACGTTTTGTGAGTACGCTCTATTACTGGTGGTCCATAAAATAATCTACGTTGTTTATTTAGAGGAAGGAAGTGGTGGTGAGGGGAGGGGGAATTGAATACAAAAGATGAATCAGGGAACCTTGAACTTTGTAAATATTTCGCTCAACCTATAATCCTGAGCTAATTAAATCACTTTTGCTTTGTCTGTTTTAGAACTTGTTAACAGTCGCGCAAAAGGCCAAGATGAGCGAAAAGTCAGTTTGTTCTTATACACCAAATTCTGCATGGCCCTTGCGTAAAAATGTCAATATTGTGTTTCGTGCTAGCTGTGTCACGCACAGTAAGAAAACAAGTTCATTGCTCGAACATTTAAACAAGGCCTTTCTTACGCTTTCTTACGCCAAATAGACGTTTTGTGAGTACGCTCGATTACTGGTGGTTCATAAAATAATCTACGTTGTTTATTTAGAGGAAGGAAGTGGTGGTGAGGAGAGGGGGAATTGAATACAAAAGATGACTCAGGGAACCTTGAACTTTGTAAATATTTCGCTCAACCTATAATCCTGAGCTAATTAAATCACTTTTGCTTTGTCTGTTTTAGAACTTGTTAACAGTCG